TTTACTGATAGACAAAACTAAAGATCAATAGGTTTTTATTCAAATCTGCCATCAATGCAGCATCGAATGGTAAAAATCAAGCAAAATCTGTGAACATGAAGCCTTTTGACGTTAATCACTTTGAGCACTTCTTTGGTTAGTAATGCGTGTAAACAAAGAAGGGAGTTTACATTATTATATCGTGCTTTTGAATAGATTTCATCTTAGACATTAAGCAACAAAATAAACTTTATGATCAATGATAAGAAATACTTTCAAATTTTTTCTTTATATCTTGCTATACGTTTTTATAAGAAAGAAATTGAGATTTATTCATATCTAGAGAATCAATTTTTTGAAGAATAACGATGTCGCTCTATGAAAACAAGTATTAATTGCTTCAAAAGACTTTGTTTTGTGCTTTTTTTTTTAATGTAAAAGAACTTTTAGGAAGTCTTTGAGATATAAAAATAGTTTATCAAAATGCCATTCAGTTCATAAGTAATTATGTTTCATGACATAAAAATAATATTTTCTCAATGAAGTATTCAAAAATGGTCAACAACCTCATTTCACACAAATAGCAGCTCTCGCAGACATTCAATTACTTGTTCTACTGAATATCGTTAAAAATAAAAACTAATACTCAACTTATTTATTTAGTACGTCACTAAACTATCTCTTATTAATTGTCATGCAAATCATAATATGAGAATCTCTCAAGTAAATCTCTCTTTTCAAATAAGAACGTAATAGATTTTGTTATATGAATACATATAAAAAAAGATTTAATAGAATTATTAGTTCAATTTCATGCAGAAGCATTAAGTACTGATTGTTCTAGAACTGAAAAATTCTTTTCTAATAAGACTTTCAAATGTCATTTTAAAAAAAAAGACATATTTTTTCATAAACAAACCTCGACGTTGTTCGTTTTGTTGTGTAATACAATTTTTAATTGTATCAATCCAACGTGAATTCATTTCTTCAATTGTTTCTCCATTTGATGAAAGCTTTCAAAAAAATAAAAAATCAATTATTATTCAATAATAAAAACAAAGCTATTAGTGCAATTTCTACAGGATTTAAATATGAAACATGACTTAGCTTCTATTGTTAATCATAACGAAATTATCTTATACTATCTATTTTAAGGCACATTTTTTTCCGATTCTTTTATCTAATCCTTCAGAAATGTAATAAGAAAATAGTTCAGATAGTATAATAAGATATTATGAAGTATCGACTACAAATTTTTACCATCATACTCTAACACTCTTTGTAGAGTTGTGTTTCATAACAAAAAAAAAAAGCTAAAAGTCTATTTGTCAATATACTTGTATAATATATGAATAATCTTTGAGTAGAATTTCAAATTTTTTTCGATCATTTTTTGGATATGTACAAACAGCAATATCAGTAATCTATTTAGAAAACATAATAGAAGATTTTTTTTTTAAATAAATTTATTTATCTTTTTTTACTTGAATCATTTCTTTAAATTGATATTGAAGAGATTTTCCATTTCCTTCATCTTTTTTCTTACATAACAATATAACACGTTCAAATAAAAATATATCTCTTGTACTTGTTTTTGTACGTGTATAAACTGTACCGCGACGTTTTTCTTTTGATATTAAACAATTTTCACCACGTAAACGTATTTGACCCAATGTATATAAATGATTCTGTTATTTTTTTTGTTTTTGGATTGATAAAAGAAAAAAAAAAGAATTTAGTTTTTGTTTTTATTAATAAATATATTATTTTATATTTACAGGACAACCAACAATTTGTGTTGAATGCATAACATCATTAAGATGTGATAAAATATTTAACATAACATAAAGAGCTTCTTGTAAATGTATACGTTCTTGTTCATGACGTGTATATTTAATCATTTCCTAATTTAAAAAAAAAACAAACTTTAGATGAACATCTTGAGAAATAAATAACTAAGTTTTTTTGTTTTATACTTTAAGTAAAAGTTGATAATGTGTTATTCGTTGAATAGGTTTTAATAAATAAGAATCTAGTGGAAGACGATGTCCAAGAGATTGTTGAATTTTCTAAATATTATGTTAATCAAAATAATAAGAAAACAGAAAAATTTTCAATATAAATTTACTGTAAAAAATGAATTTCCACAACAATATTGTTCCCATATATGTTCGGATTGAGATTTATTAAGAACATATTGTTCATATAATTTAAAATTTGATTTCTAAAGTAAAAACAAAAAAAAATCACTTTAGAGAAATGAAAATGTGATTTAGATTTTTCAAATTTTTCTTCTCCTATGTAAATATCATGATCAAGTAAAAGGTTAAGATGTTGATAGTTTCATTAGTACAACTACTCTTTTGGATTAATCATCTTTTATACTATGATCATAATGAATACTGAAGAAACTATTCAAAAGAGTTGTATGCTTCCTTGTCAAAAGCTAATGGATTTAAAGTTACCGTCCATACAGATTTCGAATATAACCATAAGGAATCTCTTGAGATCTTTATATACTGGATTCATAGGCTAAAAACTTTTTTGCTGAAAAAACAGTAAGTTTTTCTGTTTGAAATCATCTTCGTTTTTTTATTTGGAGAGAGAAAATACATAGATTTTAATTCAGACAATAGATATATATGAAGACCTAAGGAGATTTAATATTAATCATAACAAGAAAAATTTTCCAGATCCTTCTATATCGGTCATAGTTCACTGTACTTTCAAGTAAACATTGTTTTTCAAAGCGAGAGATCGACCAGCTCAAGTCATTGAATATGTTATACAGAGTTCGCTGAGTCCGAGATTGACCTAATGGGTCATATTCTAGAACTAGCCGACAATGATTACTTGATTATCATCTAGATAATCTAAAACATGTATAGAACATGTTGAAAGAAAAATTTGTAACAATTATCAAAGTTAGTAGAAATGAGAAGTATAACTTGAGTAAGAAAATGTGTCACAAAATGAATAGAATCTTTAATAATTCAAAAAATATATAAGCTATGAATATCCTGAAAAAGATTTTACACCTTTAGTTTATTGCAATGGAGATAATGTACGTCTACAGTACTTTTTTAAATAAATACAGGAACTCGAGAAAAATTGATTTTCAAATTTCTATTTGAAATCTTGCATAGAGAGAGGCTTTAGTGAGAATAATTTTTGTGAATGTTTCAGGTCTTGTCGTTATTTTCATATCACTCATATAAATCATCAGATTTGATGTTCTTAATAAATCAAAAGATACCTGAAGAACACTTAAGTAATTACTCAAATACTCGACTCTCTTTGAACTGATTAAATCGTATTCGAACATCAAGCTAGAATTCAGATTCGAACATAAATAATTCACAATATTATCTTAACTCTTTTTCTGTACATTTTTATAATTATAATTAAAGAAAAATTCTTTATAGAAAAAAAAAACAAAAGACTAACTCGTTTAATAAAACATGAAGCAATAGCACTTCCAATTGAACATGTATTAATTAATAATGAATCATTATAAATTTGTTGAAGATCACGAAGAAATGATCTATATGATAAAATAAAATCAATGATTTGAAAGTATATGAAAGAAAAATATATTTACGTAGCATGAAATGCATAAATATCAGGTAAATTAGAAAAGAGTATAGATTTATTTTGTAATATTATTAGAGGTAAAAAACGATTTTGTTCTGAATCATCAAATTTAATCATATAACCCTAATTAAAAAAAAACAAGTTTTTATTATTATTTTTTTTTTGAATGAAGAATTTCAAAAACAATGAATTATTTACCTCGATTACACTACGTAATTCTTCTACATAGACTTGTTCAGTAACTAAAAGTTCTGTTACAACATGTCTAATAAAAAAAAGAAATCTTTGATTACTATAAATAAAAAATTAATTTTTTTACCTTTGTTTTTTATCCATTTTTGTATTATGATTTATAATCGACTCATTATTTGATGATAATAATAAACGATTAGAATCCATATCAAATTTTGAAATATGTTCATTTGTTTGTTGTTGTTGTTGTTGTTGTGAAAATGGTGTTATGGTTGTATCAATTAAATTAAATGATTCATTTTGTTGAAATGGTAATGGAAGAACACATTGTATCGGTCGATAAGAAGATCTAACTAGATGACGAAGTTGTTCACATCGTTTTTCACATAAATCTCGAATATCATTAACACGACTAAATACTTGAATTATCATTGACTATGATAAAAAAAAAGAAGAAGAAAGATAATTTCTAAGTATCTTATTGAAATTTTTATATTAAACAAAATTTGTTGTAGAGTAATCATTTTGAATATTTATTTCTTTAAATCATATTTGTGATCGAAAAAAAGAAACGACTAACAAGGTAACATCTTCAAGTATCAAATTGTTTTACGATCGAGATGATGTTATCTTGATAGTTAATATAAAAATTTAGAATGGTTTTGTTTTGTGAGGCTTCATTCTCGAGATATTGAAATAAATCAAAAAAAAAATTCTTTTGAGCTGAAGTTTTCAAAGCAATCTACTGACAAACAAATCTCTCTGTAGGCAAAACTTCAAATCAAAATACCGTCATTCGATTAGTTGGTATATACTAAGCCATAGACTAAAACTTCAGCATATGCTTATAACTCTGTATAGAAACCCGAGGAGCATTTTTTTTCATACTTCATTACAGTCTGTTCTATGCATAAAGTCCGAGTTCAAATGCAATTGATCAATTGAAAATATTCCCTCGTCAGATTAATTGATTGTTCAAATCATAATTTTTATAGTATCTCGTATTCTAAGATATTCCACATTCGAAATTCTCTCACGAAAACTTTGTTCATACAAAGTTTGAAATCAAAGCTCGATTTTTCATATGATCTGAGTGAGATGACAACTTTTAGTTGAATAATCCAATAATATTTCAAGACTGAAAGTCTAGAAAATCAAACCATTCTAGATTTTTCTATTACTCATTTCATAAATATTATTTTCGATTGAAAAATACAATTAAAAGTATTCAGAAAAAAAAACGTTTTATTTGACTTCTTTCTCATTCTTATTATTCATATCTTCAACTTCGAATGGAATTCGAGGTTTGAAAATTTGATTGAACATATACATGAAACTGAATAAGTGTGAGATAAGAAGAAATGATCAAAAAAACAAATCCATGAAAGCCAACAAAAGAAAAACTACTATTCAAATTATATGCTCATTTTTTTTTATTATTTGAACAATCTTTTTTTAACATCAATATATTGTAATCAAGATTATTGTAAGAATGAAAATGAAGAAATTTTATATTACTCTTTAGATAAATTACGATTCTTCATAAAGCTCTCAATTCTTCTTATTATGATTATATAAAAAAAGTATTTCTATAAATAGATGATCATTTTTTTCGGTATTCAACTTCTCATCCTATTTCTTCGCATGAAAAAATTCTTTTAAGCACTGTAGTTTGACATGCTCTCTTTTAAACTAAAAAGAAACTAAACGTAAACAAAAATGTCTGACAGAGAGAAAATTTTTGACCATTGTTCATTGAATATGTTTAAGTCGATGTTTTTTTTTTTAGAAAGAGGTCTTAAAAATATAATATTATCTTACACGAAGTGGTTCCGGTGTTGATTTATGTTGTAATTCTTCGATATTCATTATAGATAAATCATTGAGAAAATGTTCAAGTTCATTTAGAGATCGACTAGCTTTATCATTCGATAAATGAATTGAATGCATTGCCAACATGTCTTTACCACGTATACACCAATCGTTTATCTTAAATAAATATTATATAATAGTTAAGACAACAAAAAAAGACAATCCAAAGTTTTCTTACAGATCCAAGTTTATCAATATATAATTTTAATAATTTTAAATTATGTCGTTTTTCATCAATTTGTTCAATTAATTTTTTTTTCATATCTTCTAATTCTTGACGTTTTGGTTCAATTGAATCATTACTATAGGATATAGTTTGTTGTTCCATAATTAGAGTAAGACCATCATTTGCCAATTGATTAGCATGACTGATCATTGTCTAGATATTTATATGCATAACTTATATATAAAATAACATCAATTGATATTATTACTTGTATTCGTTGTGAAAGGTCATCAAGTTGATTTAATGTTTGATCGATTTTTTCTTTATGATTATTATTTTTATTATCAAATTGACAAGAATCAAATAGAAATAAATTTATATTTATATCAGGTAACTCAATGATTTCATTATACAATTGTATAAAAATAATTTGTATCTCTTTAAAACGTTGTTCAAAATGACGTAATATAAGACAATGATTTAAACGTGTTTTATGTAAAGACCAAAATTGTGTATGAATAGATTCGATACGATCAATATGTATTAAAGCACTAGAAATAAAATTGTTTTTTTTTTTTAATGCTAAAATAGAAATCTATGGACATTATACTTACGTTATACAAGCACGAGCATGCGTCGATTGATCTGGTGATAGAACAAGATGTTGTATATCATTATTCTTGTCAATGATGTTATTATGAGATGTCGAAGACTGTTTATATTCTTGGTGTATAATACATAATAGTGAATGACCCCACCTAGAATGTATGTAGAAGGACAGAATGAAACAAAAACTATGTAGAGAGTCAATACAATTTTGTTGTATAGAGAAATAATGATGATCAGCATTGAGATACAGTTATTTTGTACGTGAAGAAAGAAAAAAAAAAGGATATAAAGAGAACATTGCTGAGCAATACATATATAATACGTGCACTTTTTCTGTTTCTTTTGATCTCTCTTTTTTTGTCTCATTGTTTGTATACATTGAATTTATAATAAATACTTTAAATGTCTATATAGTAATAACACTTTATATATATATATATATTCAAAAATAATAATAATAATAAAAAATAATTTTATTCATTACGTTTTAATACGTTGTAATTCTTGATTAAATTCATTTTTTTGTATTAAATGTTGATTAAGTATTTGTTGTATTGATTCAACTGTATTAGGAAATTCAATTTCATAACATTCTTTTATAAATATAAATAATATTTCATTTAATTCATATATTGATTGAGTTAATTTTTCAATAATCTTAAGATATAAAGAACAAAATAGAAAGAATATAATTTATTTTAATGAACATTTAATTACTATTCTTTGTTCAATCCATTCAAATAAACGAAAATTTATTAAACCATTTAAATCTTTTGATAATTGACTTACATCTATATATTCATGAAGTTCAGATAATGTTCGACAAATAATTAACTAAATTAAAAAAAAAAAAAAAACAAAAAAAAGATTTTTAACAAAAAGAAAATAAATATATCTTATTAAATATACACGATATGAATAAGTTATATCATTTAATATTGTTAAATGTGATAGAGCTCGTTGCATCCATGAATTTGGTCGAAGAAGATATATACATTGAATTGAATATGGAAAATAATTCTACATAAGAGATAAAAAAAAATAAAATGAATATTATTTCATATAATTAATAAATATGATTTGTTTTCTTTTTTGTTTAGATTCAATATTCAAGTATTTCACAACACTTGAATATAGATATTTTTTTTTGTATCATGTAATTTATTGAATTAGATGAATAACTATTTGTATGGATTCTGTTATAGTTTAATCATATTTTAGATGATTGTCTAATATGTATTATAAAAATGTTAAACCTAGTTTATAATATTGATGATCTTTCTTTTTTGTTATTTATAGAATACAGAAACATCGATAAATAAGGAGAATGTGTGTAAGTTTGTTTGACTATTCTTCAAAAAAAAAAAGATTTGAATATTTTGAAAAATCACTTCTTTTATTTTTATTTTCATTATTATATTTTCTACGAATGTGTAGTGAAGGTTAATTATTAGTTGTTTCGATCTTCGAATAATAAAAAAATAAATCTCATGCCTATGTGTCCTTGTATAATTGAGAACTAAGAACGATTATCATATTGTATATCAATCAAATATTTGTTTACCTCTATATAGCTGATAATAGATTTAACAGCATTCCATGTATTTGATCGTCGATCAATAATAAGAATAAAACCACATTGACGTTCATCTTCACTATATAATAAGTGATAGAATATTTTGTTTATCTAAATTTTACTTATTACCTTGGTATTTGTGTTAAATAAGAAATAAGTTTTTTATATTTTTCTTGTGTTAATTCAATTTGAGTATTATCAGGAAATGTAAGAATTGGACAATTATGACTTATACCACCCGTTAGAAATGCAAGTTTTTCTTGTAATAAATCAGCTATTGATAAAACACTAAGTGAAGTTTCTTGAGAGACATGTTCTTAACAAGAAAAAAAAAATAAAGATAAAGTAATCAAAAAAAGAAACAAAATTTAAGACATACGTAATGTCTTATAAAATTCTTGTAATTCGTCTTGCTTATATAAACTCATCATAATTAATAAAAATCAATTTTTTTTTTCATTCATTAAAGACCACCTAACTATGCACAACAAGGATATTTACTTAAGAAAACAAATAATATATATATATAAATATGTGAATATTAATTCATTACTTTCATGTAATGTGTGTTATGCACGCAATGTGTGATGAAAAATGCGTGCTGACTGATGCTTTATAAAAAATGACATATGAATATTTATAAATGAAATGCTCTTATAAGTTCTGTAATATTATGTGTCGATGTATTACATTGATTTTTGTATAATAATTATTTTCTTAAATAGTTAATAATTGATGAATATCTTTCTTCATGATAAAATTGACTAAATAAACATATTTTAATTTAATTTTCATTATTATAAGATTCTTTCAATTTTTGATTAAGACACATCATTCATGTATTGTTATGTTGGAATAAACTAATATCTTAGATAAATACAGCTGGTAATCTAGAATATGTCATATAAAGAAAACATGATATAAGTCTTATTAGAATAAATGGATGTTGTATAGAATAAAGCGTAGCCCAATATGGCTTTACAAGACTATGTACCTAATCTTGTCTTTATAGATCAATTCAATTAGCTATTGTACCAAATATGGAGACTTTCAAGAAAAGTCATAGAGACAATAGAATTATTCTATTGATGTATATAACATCCGAAGAGAATATGACAAAATTAATTGAAAAGAAACAAATTCTATTGGACATATTTTTGTTAATCTTATTAGTTTTGTTTTGTGTGTATTATTACATTGACTTTCAAGTAGTATTTGTTCATCATTTATTCTTTGAATTTAAACAATCAGAATGAGAAATTTTACTTTTTCGTTTACATTTGAATATTATGAAAAATATTTTAATGATGAATATTTATTAGGAATAAATTTTTTTCTTTCTAATAATGTTGATGTTATACTAAGTACTTCATCTAAATGTTGATCACGTATTTATTACGGTCTCACTATATAAAGATTACTAATGTTTCATGAGTCGAAGGTGTCATGTGATGCAATGAGAATGAAGTAAATATTCTGTTCTTTCTTACGTTCTATCAAATGAAAGGTTGAATATAATTATAAGAAGAAGAACAACAACAACAACACATAAGAATAATAATAGTCTACTTATATAAAAATCTGATGAACAAAAAATATTAATTTTTGAATTTTTTTTTTTTAGTGTTTTATCAATATGTTCTATTTAAGATTCATAAGAATTTAATGACATGAAAAGTTTGATTAGAATTATCATTTTATACTTTAGTTTTTAAGAACAATTTACGTCATAATAAAAAAAAAAAAACATTTTTATTTAATCATGAAATTTTCTATATCAAAATTAATTTTAAACGAAGGACATTGAAGATATTTTATATGTATCAAATATTTATGATCAAAATAAAAATTATTTGATATATTAATATAAAATATCACTCGAATATTTCTTTTGTTACATGTTAACCTTACGTCACAAATATTAATCTTAAATTAAGATTTCATCCATCTGTCAATATCAGACATTGATATATATAAAAAAAAAAAAACATTTCGATCCATACTTGTTAACATTAAATAACATATGAAAGCAATGATTATCATTTTTATTTTTACAGGATTATTATACTTCTCAGCACAAGCATTGAGTAAGTTTCGATTTATTAAATTAGAAAAAATTCTATGTATATGAATTATTTTTAGATTGTGATGATAATCCTTGTGAACTAGGTGGTTATTTTATACAAAATCGAGGATATCAATGTTTACAAGTGAATACAGTAGTATTTTGTACATGTCCAAATGGTCAATTAGAAGTTGATCGACCATGCCGTGAGAGAAAAACATTATTAATAAAAAAAATAAAATAAAATTCTTATTTTTATATTATTAGGTATTTGCAATCGAACAAATCCTGCAAATAATCCATGTATTATTTCTTCAAATTTTCTTGCTTGTCTCGAAACAGATGATTATGGTACAACATTTGCATGTTTATGCATGGGACCATTGGGACCTGCGGTGACAACATCAGCTAATTGTGGTGAATAACAATGAGAAAAAAAAAATGAATGTCAATAGGTAATTTATTGTGTTGTTGTTTATTTATAATATAGATTTATCAATTACATTAACAAGTACTGCGATAATAACATCTACCAGTACTACTACTGTTGCACCTGTTACATTATCAACATGTTTTAATGGAGGCTATTTTATTGATAATGATTGTCATTGTCCTAGTGGCTTTGGTGGAATATATTGTGAACAAAGTTTTGGTAAATTGTTTTTTTTTTTTCTTTTTAATATTCATTTTTGTTTTTTTTAATTTTGTTTTGTTAAGAATCTCAATTATGTGAAAGAATTGTTTGTCAAAATAGAGGAGTTTGTGCAATTCGAAATCTAAATGGACCATATGAATCTATTTGTTTTTGTCGATATGGTACTTCAGGTGATTATTGTGAATTAAATGGTAAGAAACTTGAATTTTCAACAAATTTTTCTATTTTACACCAAAAATACATAATAAAACATTAGGAACATTGGGTTTTTGTACACCTAATTTATGTATGAATGATGCTCCTTGTCAAGAAACTCTTATTGGATCAACACGTCATGCATATTGTAATTGTCTACCAGGTTATAATGGAACCAAATGTGAGAATCGTATGTATTTAATTCTAAATTTTCTTATATGATTATTTTGATTTTCTAATAGAATATTTTAACTGTACTTTCAATGGAATATTTCTTGATAATTTTATGAGTGATCAAGGCAAATATTTTGAATGTACACAATCAAATGATTGTAAGTTAAATAACAGCAGTCTTTAAAGATTATCTATGGTTTTTTTTTGTTAATAGCCTTTCAATTAGAAAGAAAATCATGTCCAAAAGGTCTTCGTTTTAATACAGACAAGACTACTTGTACTCTTTGGTGAATTACGATTTAAACATTGCTTACTTTTTTTTATTTATAATTTTGTTAGTTTTTAAATAAAACGCACATTTTTTTAAAGTATGATCAGTTTGTTTGAAATCTCATTTCAAATGTCAATATAAGTTAAATATGTGCAGAGTTATCGTACCTTACCCTGCTCAGCTCTAGTATGAGTTCTATACTGTTGACATTCATATAATTTCTTGCAATTTTGTAATATTATCCGAAAAACTTATTGCTGTATTAAATGATTTTCAAATATTTCCTAAGACACAAAATACATCACAGAATTTTCATCTTGGTTTTTGATCATATGCCTTTATTAACAATTAGTAAATAATGAAAATATGCTGATTGTTTAATAAATGTTGTTAAATATGATATTGACACACAATATAAAGAGAGAACTTCCGTTAAATCATGATCAAGTTTACAAACATGTTTTTTTTAGAATGACTTCATTCGTAGTCAGGATGAATAAATTATACAAATGATAAATATGATTTATTTGAATATTATTTCTCTTACAAGCCCTCTCGATACCTGTATCAAATGTTTGCAAGATGTGAATGTGAGTGTCTGTGTATGTTTGTCATAGAGTGCATGTCTACACCTATCTAATCAATTACACTCAAATCCAGATATTAAGAACAACAATGCTGTATGCTGTACGATGCTAAAATAACGCTCATCATTACTTTTGAGGCGCAAGTGTAGTTAACTACGATTCAACGACTGTTGAAGAGAGTAGTGCACTAGAACTCTTCCAAAAAGTGATTGCTAATATAATCTTCTTGTCAGAGCTAAATTATTTATTGACATTTAGCTTTTATCAGCGCTTTCTGCCCAACGTTTCATTAAAACGTTCGATGGCAGGCTTTTGTCAAGGACCTTGTTGGCTGTTTCAACTCCAGCTACCGGTAATTTTGTTGTGTCCAAGAGTCCTATCTGCGCAAGTACTGAAGCTTGATCCCAATAGATATGCTCGTTACAGATCTTATCACCACGAAATGTGACAATGGCGACCAATGGTATCTTCACGGACTTGCCAGTGGGTGCGACGCCAGGTAGCATCCAGTCGATTTCACGATCATGAGTGAAACAGAACAACATTTCATCGACCACTCGATCAACACCGACCGTGCGCGAGATTGGGACCATGTGTGTATCTGCCGGATTGCTGTTGACGAAATGATGTTTATAGAAACGTGATAGATCCTTGACCCCAACACCGCCAGTCATGGTTGGAATATGATTGACATAGGGGTCAGGCACCATAGTCGACATCGTTGCAGTGACATCATGAGTATTAAATTCATACTCACAATGTTTATCCCACAATGCCGAGAGGTCATATTGTGGAGTAGGCGCTTCCGTGTTTAATTCTGTATCCATTATCATATTTGTGGACTTGTTGAGCGATTCATTCACATATTTCTCCGTTTTCTGTTGATCACTAGCTGTATCATTGTTAGCCATGACGAGGGTACCTGAAAAACACAATAAATTAAGGCAACAAATCGATACATTTTCGAATTTTCTTTTTTAATCATTCTCGAACAATTGAAACCTCTGGTCAGAGAAACTTTTCCATGAGTTTGAATAGAAATGCTTGAAAAGCAAATTCTTTTTCTTATGGGTACTCCAAGCATGATGCGGGTGTAGATGAAAACAAAATTGACACCCATACCGAGGTTTTTGAAAAAAAAAAAGAAAATCATTTTTTGTAATTAAAACTACTGTTTTTTCTTTGTAAAAAAATCTTTTTCGTAACAAAACAAAAATTTGGTTGTCAGGAACTTGGGTGTTAATGAAGCCTATTTGAATATCAGACAAGTTCTCCAAAGTTTCTTGTTCTTCTAGGTACAACCTAATCGAAAACTATCCCAGAATAAGTGGTACTGTTTTTTCAACATATTGCCTTTCTCGCTGACTAACCCTTCAAAGAAACACAATGTCACAAATATAAATTTCACTTACGAAACATTTCAATTAAATGCTGGTACGCAATTAGAAAACAAAGATCTCGCAGCTTTTAGCTGTGCCCACCAGGATTTCATGCTGACCCGGACATTTTGATCTTATACTTAACACGTTCGTATACGATACGGAACTTCTCCCCATCAGTGACACCCACCGTTTTGCAGTCTCAGACTATTTGCCATCCGTTCACCTATTACGACATGATCGAAATCTCATTCTGTAAACTCCTAGTCATTGTTATGTGCCTAGTAAGGTGCCCGCAACGCGAAATTCAAGTAAAAATTTTTTTTTCGGCTTTTTTTTACATCAACTGATAAAGCTTGAGCTGATGATCACGAATATCTACTTTTTAGCCTTAGTGAATGCTTCCTTCCGATCGAAAAATACGAAATACTCAAAGGATATTTTTTCCTTAAAAAATCATATCTTTTTTGAAAATGAACAAAATTTTCTACTTTACTCTTTTTTTCAGCTTTTGAAAATAACTTTTTCAGATTGAGCATGAAAAACTGATTACAGACAAGCCGTTAAATCGACTCTAGACACAAAACTCTATTGGTGGTGGCGCTTCGAATCAGGTCGGGTGAGCTGCGTATAGGTCGATTTTGTAAGCCTATCTAGTTTTTCTGTGTAAACGATGGAAGCAAATATTTTATCTCATTCGGCACATCATATCATGTGTTACAAAGTTACGCATCGGTTTTTTTCTCTTTCCTTTCTTGGGTCGAGAAAAATTGTTTTTACTGTATGATACAAAAAAGGAGAAGGTCATTTTCACATAAAACGTTTATTTTTTATTCAAATCAGGCAAAAATTTGTTGACATAGTTCAAAACTGATGAGAAATCTAATGGGAATACTTTGAAGATCTTTTGAGGATCTTTAAAGAGTCTTTAGAAAACTTTTTCTGGAACAAACATAGTTTGCTAATATTAATCAATATTTCATGACTTTTAATGGTCAGGTTGGTTAGTTTTCATGCTTGGTTATATAATATGAATGCGAACAGGCAGGGTAAAAGTATCGAAATAGAAAAGAATATGTTCATTAAGGTTCGTTTATGTTCTTATTTGATATTGTACGATGTGATTGAACTGATTGTTTGCAGAGTTGACTAAAAAACAATTTTAATACATCAGTATATGTCTGACCTTCAAAATATGCTTCAATTGAACGCCAAAAACGTCGGAATAATTTTAATGCAGTTTTTCGTTCCACAAAATGTATACGCGAATCCGATATTAGTTTTATCATTTTTTCAAAACTTTGATCTGTGCGTGACCTAACAAATGCTTTTTGATTGCACCAAAGACCTTCGATTGCATTTAGTTCGCAATCGTATTTTCGACAGATATAATCTTAATTTTATATTTAGTTCCTAACGTCACCAGTTTTGTAGCCTAAGAAACAAAATTAATGACATAGGATCGAATGTGTGTGAAAAAAAACTGGAATGGTATCCACTTAGTCGCTTGAATTCGAAGTTTTTGCGTTGAATTGGTCGTTTGCATCCGAAATGTTTACATTTGATAGATCGCTTACATCCGAGATCTTTGTCTTTGACCAGCGACCAGATGATGCCGCATTTGATTGACTTTTCCTTTACCTTGCTCTAGGCATACCAGACTAACTAAGATCAACTGCAAATGAAACTATCTTAAAGAAACGCATACGTTATCAGCATTTTCACCTATAATATGTTTTTTCCAGAAAAAGTTTTCTAAAGACTCTTTAAAGATCCTCAAAAGATCTTCAAAGTATTCTCATTAGATTCCTCATCAGTTTTCAACTATGTCAACAAATTTTTACCTGATTTGAATAAAAAATAAACGTTTTATGTGAAAATGACCTTCTCCTTCTTTGTATCATACAGTAAAAACAATTTTTCTCGACACAAGAAAGGAAAGAGAAAAAAACCGATGCGTAACTTTGTAACACATGATATGATGTGCCGAATGAGATAAAATATTTGCTTCCATCGTTTACACAGAAAAACTAGATAGGCTTACAAAATCGACCTATACGCAGCTCACCCGACCTGATTCGAAGCGCCACCACCAATAGTTTTGTGTCTAGAGTCGATTTAACGGCTTGTCTGTAATCAGTTTTTCATGCTCAATCTGAAAAAGTTATTTTCAAAAGCTGAAAAAAAGAGTAAAGTAGAAAATTTTGTTCATTTTCAAAAAAGATATGATTTTTTAAGGAAAAAATATCCTTTGAGTATTTCGTATTTTTCGATCGGAAGGAAGCATTCACTAAGGCTAAAAAGTAGATATTCGTGATCATCAGCTCAAGCTCTATCAGTTGATGTAAAAAAAAGCCGGAAAAAAATTTTACTTGAAGTTTGAATTGCTTGCGCCTTAGCTTTTTTCAATTCTCGAACCCATCACTGCGTGACTAGAGGCTGTGTGGACTCACTGTAAAACATCGCTAGTTATTCTGCTTCTCTTTGTCACAACCTAACAAATTACTATATTGTACGAAGCTTTTCTCCTTCATTGTTAAGCACTGCGATGCGCTCAGGCAGATATGTTCCTTAAAAATTGTGTTTACGTAATTTTGAGCACTTCAAAACAAGAAAACTGAAATTGACAACTACATATTTTATGATAAAGAAACCTATTTTAGGAGACAATAAAACTTTGACTATATGACATGTTTATCGAAACAAAATCGCTAACGTATTCCTTTTAAGTAGATGATAACGTCTCATATATTATGCATAGTTATTTTTAACGTAGTCAAATATGTGGCTAATTCGTTTAACTGTACAATGACTACCATGATACATAGGAACACTTTGTATGATTGACCTGAAAAGATCTAGATTGATCAGATGTCGAATCGATAACTGAATTCATTCAACCATCCTTTTATTTTTATCTGTCTAAGGTAATTATTGTGTTTTCTGTAGTATAGAGTTAAATAAGAAAGAAACTATACGGCAAACAAATCAGAAAAGATTTTGCTTGTGTTTTTTAATTTTCTTGTACGTCAGATAACGTTGATGAACATTTCG